TTTGGAGAGGTCCCCCCCGCCAATAAACACGCGAATGAGCAGTTTAACGGTCGAAAATAACTACCTAAATGGAAGTTCAGGTCAGTTCAGATTATACCACCATTAGCCATGCACTTTCGGGCAGAGGTTGTATCTTTTTTATTACACACCAGTGTGTGATGAACAGCAGACGGGACAGACCCTATAGTCATGAAGACCTGCTGTTCCGTGATAGTAACCGGCAACCTAATCCCCGGGACTTGGAGTGGTGAAAAACATAAGGCCCTGATAGGTCAGGCATGGTATAGAACCAAAGTTGGGTGGCGGTAGCTGGGTTCGAACCTCGGTCCACAGGGTCCAAAGAACGCCGGTGACAGTAGTTTAACTGCCCGCCATCTTTTTCCATCCACTGTTGACCTCGTCAAAGAACGCGCACCGTGACGATCTATTAGCTGACATAATTAACATAAGCCCCAGCCAACGTAATTCATGGAGGTCGACCAATCTCGTCCGGTTTCCCCATCAGACTCGTGTAATACGGTGTTATGTTTGAACACCGACAGTTTCTCTATCCTATTTTCGTAATAGCCAAGTCTCTGAAGTAGTGGTCGAACTGCTGCAGCATATACTCGATCGCTTACAGGCAGCCGAATTTCGCGACCGCGCCGCAGATGTCTAAATTCGGCAATGCCAACCGAGCTCTCCGTATGCGTGCCGACACCCCATCAGTGTTTCGTCCACCGGTGATAGATAGATGCCCAAATATAAAAAATCATCGACTTTCTCTACTACTTCCCCATTTAGAGTGAAGCTGGGATTTGCATTAAGGGAATCCTGTAGCTATCTTTTACGCTTTAATGGTGTGCACCGTATGACAACCGTTTGTTACACTATAACTTGAACTACCCAGAATGGCTTCCAATTTACCGGGGTCTTCAATTGGAAGTACATCGTCGACATCATGCTCTAGATCAGACACTGCCACTTGGGGGCAAGTGGATGGTACTAACTTCGCAGGCGGTCAAGACCGTTTTCAGAATCAGATCTACAATGAAGTTAAATAGAAAAGGAGAGAAAGAGAGTTATCCTGACGAATACTGCTTCTTGTGTTTAACTCCGGTGAAAAGTTGTCGTAAGCTCGGGCTCAAACTCGGTTTCGGCTATTCTTACGAGAATTTGGCGGAGTGAAAATGTAGTCCATACAGAGTCGGCTAGGTTTTAACTCTCTGGTTCTCACGCGTGCACCGTTCACGTACAGCAGACAGTCAACGGAGTATGATACTTGCGAGAAGTTTAAAGACGCTATGATCAAACTAGTTCCTCCCTTGGTTTTCATAAGAGAACTTCTCGCCTTTCTTGTAAATCGGTGAGACACACCATTTCTTTGCAATTTGCTCTCCCATACTGAGCCCATGAGTTTCGTTAGCCCAAAGTTTAAGGCTAAACCTCCATCCTTAATAACAGACATGGATAGCCTCCGTTGTTTGCCGAGGTCAACAGTGGATGGAGAAAGATCCAAGCACAGCCAAACTAAGATCTAGCATGAGGGTATGAAAACCCTGACCAGAAGACTTGCTCACATAGATCGCGCTGGGTTTTCTGAATGGGGACCTCAGGACCACTGTAGTCGATGGTTAGATACAACGAATGGATTGACTGAGTGTCGTAAACAGTGGCACTCGCTCATCTACTCAACATCCTTGCAATTTTAGTCTCCATGAGTTCTCCATTCTTATCTTGGAATTACTTTCAACATTTTAATCGCCTATTCACTACTTTATCCGAAAGGGTAACCAAGAGACAAACCCAAACCGTAGCACGAAAATGCATGGTATATAGTCGTAAAGACTGAAGTGAACTTAAGGCATTCAATAAAAAATAGCACAGAATGCCTTCATGGTGGTAGATGATCAGCGCTTTAAATACTTGATAAAATCATCATCATTCAAACCAATCACTTCCTGGCGTACATCGAGTTCCCTGCCGAAACGCTGCATTGAATTAGTGAAATCGTCGTTCCGCATACAGATTGTATAATACATGGGGGAGAGAGAACTTACGCGAATTCTTTGAAGTGTTCCAAGAGCCACAGGATCTGTGCCTCTTCCGGTTTGTCTGTCAGTGTGAAGCGTGGATCGGTCAGATGCGACCGAATTAACAATAGCTCGGAATAGACGGAAAGCGGTGTGGAAGCACAAGGTCGGGCCGGTGAGCAGTTCGGGTCTGGTAATGTTTCTTGTATGTGATGCGACTGTTTTGTTTGTAAATTTGCAATGGGTTTGTGTAGATGGGAAACCAAAAATAAATAGAACTTCAGGCTTGTACGTGAAACCGAATTGGTTGATTGCCTACTTGTAGGCGAATAATTCCTACAAAAGGATGATTAGTCTCAAACCATGTGCCCAACGAATCCATGCATACATACGAAATTATATACGCACACAAACCAACAAGACGCGCATGGCGTGGGTAATAAACTAAATATGGATCCCGTAGAAACCTGTTTCGGTATGAAGCGGTACAGTGACTTACTCCGAAAAATTCATCCGTAAGTGTATACGTATGATTCACGGAGTCTTCCGAATGATCTTGCGGTTGCCATGGCAGTAAATAGTACGGGCGCAAACTGGCATCCTTCACGTGTTCCACATAGTCTACAGTGATCGCATCTTAACGCGCGTGCACGGTAACATGGAAAACAGGTGTGCGACTTACCATCACGGTGCAAATCCCGTAATGGCCAGAACACAGAGTAGCAAATGCCGCGCGGGATGTAGAAGAATGGAATCATGCGCGCTGCGTATTTAAGAGAACGAATATAAAAATCAGGGTTCCATTGAAAACCACACCGGGTTGATCCATATAAGCAACAAAAATAATGATATTCATATAATTATTAAGCACGGCTTGGTAGGGCTTCCAATCTGAAATTACTGGTTCTGAATCTCTTCGGGGACGGCAACATTTCACCATTCACCGCACTCGAGTGTACGATGAAAACACATTTCTCAACACATGGATCATGCGACCTTAGTAGCGTAATTATTGTGAAGATGGAGCTTTCATGGAACAAATGATATTACATTTTGCACTAATCAGTAGTGAAAAACATTTAGGGTCCATGAACGACTACAACACAAGCAAGTTCTCACACGTACAGTGAGTCAGCTTATTCTATATAGCAAGTCCGGATAGCTTAACCTAGTTCACCAGGGGATTAACCTATCCGACCGACTCGTGAGCAACCCTGCAAGTAATCCAATATAAGGGATTATCCCAGATCTGTAGTTATTTGGCATGTCGTCATATTTGTGCAAGAAATGTTTATATACAATTGAAACAACGTTCCAGTCGTGTTAGAGTTTCTATTTACGAGTTCAGCACAATAACCCCCCAAGCACTTCAAATATCTGTCAAAACCCGCGCCATCGACTTCATCTCGGCAAATGATAGAGATCAACGAAGTGGAGGATGTCCCAGGGACAATATGGTCTGCCAGCTCATTAGTCCCAGTCCTATCAGATAGTATTTACATCTGTGCACAAAAAAATGTTTTTTTCAAGCTAAAACCTCAGGAAACATTGACGTGTCACATTTCAACATCCATCAAATCACATAAAATAGCTGAATAAAGTTACATCAGGTGGTCAGCTCTCCATCACAGTGTTAGGTATTCATCTTTTTTGACCAATCACCTAATCCACCAATGATAGTCCCAATGTGAAAAAGCATGATCATGTTAACACTTTCCATGATAATAGCTTGACTTAGCTCGAGTTGTTCATACGTGTAGTGAAGAATAATGGGAAAATTCAATCTCAGTTAAATCCTTCAGTAGAGTTCACCCAACTATACCGAAAACTGGACAACGAATGGAACGCTTGCTGCTTGCTTCAGTGTCCGGTCGGACAAAACAGAATATCACATTTAACGTTCGTAAATGACTAGATGACAAATGTTTTTTTGCTTAAAGCATTAGACGAACGTATAACAGAGAAGAGGCCGCCATTTCTAACCGCCCCTACAGTTGCTTGCCAATGGCGATCTAAGAGGATCCCTCGTGTTGCTTCAACACTGAAACTGAGCAATAATCATCAAATGTATGTACCCGTCCAGTGGATTTCTTTTTGTTTTCTTTTTCATTTTACTTCCTTTTATTGAATACATAACGACAAAATTTTCCGGAGTAGGGAAGCGGCGGAACAAAGGGCTGCCATACAACATACAATGGGGCGGTGGCGGTGGGATTCGAACACACGTCCTCTGGAGTGAGAATTTGGTAATGTTATCACCGAGCCACCCCCGCCGCGGTTTCAGCATATCCGAAAACTTTCAGCAGTGAACTGTCAAATAAAATGCTAACCATTCTCCAGTTTGGAAGGGATTGAAAAACGAATCGGTAGTTTCCAAAAAAAGCTATTTCTTCATTCGGTGTTCGTTTCCGAAGCCGTAAATGAACCGTTATCTGTATCAACTACACCCTAAACCCCAGCTCGTGTAACGCTACCATTTGCAGCACCCAGAAGGCGCAATCGTTCAACGGAACAAGATAGTCTGATGCACTGCACAACCGCTGAATAACGATATTGCCTGAGAAAAGAAAAGTATACCATTCATTATAAAAAGGGAACTGTACAAGGAGGGAAAGTAGGACTGAACCCAGTAACCTTGAGATAGATACTTTCTAGTTTGAGTGGAAACAGTAACGAGTGATGTATAAACTATTTCACACCTGATCAAATGGACAGGTTTGCTGAAAAGAACAGCTACATTTCAAGTGAACCCGATAGAAATCAAACTCTGAATTAACAAAAGCGCTTACCAGTTGGCTCGTCTGAATGACCGATTCGCGAGCCCACCTCATCCAGAACGTACCATCGAAGATATTGTAACTCGGGATTTTGACGCAACAATTCCGGATTATCAAAGGGTGATACTTTGTAATGTCGGCAAAACCTTAAAAGGATGAAAAGGCCTGACAGTAAGACGAAATTGGACTGCTGTAACCATTTAGCAATAGCTTCGACATGTTACCTCAGACTCTTGATCTTAGATGCAGTAGAAAGCGTAAACTCTATAGTCACGAGAGCCAACTAATTGATCACGGAAATTACCTCGAGGTTCAAAGTCGTGTGCCACACATGATACTAATAGAGCAGACAGGGTGGTGAGCCGGGTGGTAGCGGAGCTGTCTACTTAAAAATCCGAATGTCAATAACTTGAATCATTGAAATAGTAACCCGTCAGCGCTTTGGATATGGATGATTTCGTGTTTTTAAAAAAAAATATTTCTCCTCTCCTATTTACAATAGTTTTCGGTTAGGATGGAGCGCACAGAACTTGTCAGGCCGCGTACAGAACTACTGCACACCACAAGCAAGTTCGCGACACCAATGAAGAATTGAGACCGAAGTGGATAGCAGCAGAACGAATCAGATAACGGTTATGTCCGACCAACCAATTGGAGATTCAAGCACTTAAGACTTAGTGTTCTCATACCTTCAATTCGCACTATATGTAAGGGGCGTATCATGATAACACGATAAAGTTCGGCTTTCGCTTCCCAGTTGTCCTCTCTTTTCTACATTCAACGCTCGGGGCTAGGCCAAAGGCCTAGTCTGGATCTTACGACTAGTCTCAATATAACATTACCAATATTTACACACTTCTCGATTGTTTGCATTCTATTCTAAAATAGGGCTTTCGAGAGGAAAAAGAAAGCGACAACATTAAAAGGACCAAAAACTCCTTGTAAAGAACAAGGGGAACCGGATGTGTACTAGAACCCTGAAACACAAATCAGTTCAATCAGATCCACCTAATCTGATTTTGTGCCAGTCTTCTAAAATCTAACAACCGTCAGATGGCACAGGCGGTGATGACGGTTTATTCTCTGAGTTTCGATTATAAATAGATTAGTGTAGGCGAGTTTGTTCGGAATCAATGCCGTGATGCATCTGGCGCTGAAAAATGAGATGCATAAATGGGTGGATATCACGCAATAGCAATCATTGCGGGGTTCATCGAATTGCCCAACATCAAACTGGTCTTTGAGAACAATGTAAACTACTAGAACAGTAGCTTGTGCATCGTGGGCGTAGATGAGAAAAATCGGGAATGAACATACCGCCATACAGACTCGGCAATGGCATCTATAAGTTCGCCTGGATTATTTCCTTCAATATCCATCAGAGAAGCCATCCGTTCCTTTAGACCGGGAACTTTTTCAAGGGACTCTCTAATTGAACCGGGCTCGAAAGTCCAAGCGTGATCGACCAAGAAAATGCTGAGTGTATCCAATCGAAAATGATCAGACGTAAACAAACCTGTTCGAGTCTGAGAAGAGCAGCTCGTCACAGCACACGGTTACTTGCCACTCAAATTGTTCCGCTTCGTCACTTCCATTCGTATCTTCATCCTCAGTTCCGTAGACCACCCGATTCAGCATCACAGACTGGTGCGCATCGTACGACTGGAGAGAAAAGAACGGAATCATCACATGACTAAAAGACCATACTTCGTTCCAGAGCTTCTCGTGCAAAGCCTTCCATAGATGACCTGGTATTCCGCATGATCTTAGCTGCTGTTCGTGCGACTGTAGAAAGGCATTGAAGTTCGGCTGCACTATTCCGTTGGGAGTAGCCTGAAATGAGATGTGGCAGTTATTCTGTGGAACAATCAAGTCCTCAGACTTAGTTAATTAGCATCGTAGAAGTGAGAAAGACCCTAAGGTTAGGCTTTAATCAAAATACAACATTCGTATAGAAAATGAAAATGGAATAAAACTATTGTACAGAAAACCGATGCATGCGGTATTGCGTCATTCTTCAAGGTTAGGAAGGGATGATATTGAACGAGTACATATGTGAGTGAAGAAGAAGAGTGTAAAGCTTTTACTAAGCATGTTTGCTTCTTAAGCAAAATGGTCGTGGCAACAGCACTTGTTAGTCTATCAAGTGCCTTTTGCGCGTCCTCTAAACATTCTAACAGACAGACAATGTCATTGGCATACTCTAAATCGCACAGTTTTTCTCCAGCTGTCCATTTAATACCTACGTTCTGGAGTCCACTTAGTGCGTTCTCCAGTGTTTCGTCTACGACGAAATTGAACAAGAACGACGAAAGAGGATACCCTTGAAGAACGCCGCTGCGGGTGACGAACGACCTACTTAGTTCGTTGTAAACCCTTACATGACCGGAGGTGTGAGTACAGTAGGTTAACGTACTTCTGGGGCATTCCTTTTCGAAGCAGGGAACCTATCAGAGGTTCGCGGTCAACTGAGTTGAATGTACCTTTCAGGTGAGGAACACTGCGACCGTTGGTCGACGGCGGGTGTGACGCAGCTCGAGCACCTGACGCAACGCAAAAATTTGATCAATACATCCACGGTGAGGCCGAAATCCGGCTTGCTGTTCACGGATGTTCGTCCCTCGTAAAGGTATCATACGTCAAAGTATGACTGAAGCACTTTGATGACGATCGGGATATAACTTGATGACTGGATTTCAGGATGACAAAGGTGTCATCAACTAGCCTGATTCATAATTTCGGGCTGATTATAGGAATTCCAATGGTTTCCAATCTCTGCATAACCGCTTCCGCGATGAGTCCTGAAACTGGTGGTCCCGTCAAGGTAACTGTTGTCTGTTCCTATGGCTGTCCGAGAACAATGGTTCTACCTCGGAGAACACACCAATATCCGCATCCTGGTTACAATTATTCCACATTATTTCTAACATATATGCGCGTGAAAAGCTTAGGCATGTTCGACGATGGGAAAAATCCGCCAGCCGCCAATCTTCCATCAGAGAGCAGATGCTCCTGCAGAAGGCATGTATCGCGTGTGAGCATCCAGTATAGATCACCGGTCAACTGTTGAGATGGATGGGATCTAGGAAAACACTGGTCGGTGAATGATTCGTGTGCACATCAGTGATGCACACAATCGATTGATTGAATATCAACAGATTATCAATAGACAAAAGCAGTTTTGTTCAAGTGTGATGGACAACGAATTACTGGAGCAGTTAGAACAAGCCATATCATTAGGAAATAACCATATGAGGCAAGTCACAAGATGGCTCTAGAGGAAATTGGGCAGAATAACCCCGCAGAATAGGGAACTGAAATCACAGCATTGGATAAAAAGCCTATCCAGCCGGGTGTTATCACATGCCGCACAGTCAGTACTAGTTCGAGGCCAGACTATGTGCCAAACAAATCATGGTACAATTAACTTTATGGAGAGAAAAAAGTTCCATGATTTGCTGGAGGGTGGAACACTACCAGGTTGTCTAGGATAAGGCCGGAGCCTTCGGCTAGCCAAAGCCTAACCCGAAAGGCAGTGTTCAGTTTAGTTCAGTCTTTACAACCATTAACCATGCACTTTTGTGCGCCCGTTTTGGTTTGCTGTCTTTTGCTGTCCCATTTGAATAAAAGAGCAGAATGAAGGCTGGAATGTTGAAAGCCAATTCAAGCGGAAGAAGGAGAATTCATAGAGAGTGATGTTAGGGAAATAATGAGTGGATGCACGAGCGCCACTGGTTGCGAGGCGGTGTATGAAAACCGCAATCTATTGAAGAGCGTTCAGTTCATCGGACCGGACACCCTTCGGACGAGGTCAGAAGTCCAAGGTTCCGAATACACCTCGATACTTAATCGTAACGGTGACCGCTGCCACAACCAAAAGGGTGGGGTTCGTACTCCTTGCTGTCGTCCGGCGCAACACCACGCATAACCTAGTAAGGCCTTATGCGGTTAGCCACTCCAAATCCCTGGGCCTAGGTTGCCTAGTTCCTTGAGTGAACTGCAGTTTTTAACTACTACGGAGTTTGCTCCGTCTGTTGTTTATCACACGGAAGGTATAATGAAAATATTTATGAAAACGCTGTATCGAATATTCTGGGTTGAGGACTGAGACAAGTGCTGTCTTGATAGATTACGCCAGCTGCGATATGTGTTACGCACGTCACCTGATGGGATTGCGGTACTTGCCGAGGCAGGTAATGGGTGGAAAAAGAAACGGTCACGCTGGCTTTAAAATCTCTCAATGGAACCTCTTCTGTTTCTCAGATAAGCTGACTGGGGCACGCATTACGTATGCCCAGTTGTCATCTACCGCACCGCGTTTTATTCGCCGTAGCTAATCCGGGCTGGACGAAACCACGTGGAAGTCAACATATGACGTTTAGACGAGGCATGAAGAAATGCACAGAGCTATTAGGCAGAGTAGGTGTCTCGCGCTTTCCAGGTTGGTGTTTGAAAGACTCCGTAACCGGTTGGTTCGAGACATTGAAGGATAAGACAACGAACTGACAGCAGTGGCGTTCTTGTTGTCATTTAATATCAGATCAGAATGCTTGAAACGGTATGTATGCAGAGCTCAATTCTGTGTTGACCAGGGTTCTTCTCCCTCCCTCAAAATAGGTCTACGCCCTGTCCACCTTAAATATTACCACTAACCTTGTATGCATTTGGAGTTTGGCAGCAATTAGTGACGTTCGCCTCACTGTATTTCGCTATTTCGTGATGATAAGTAAAAACTGGTATTGTATTAACAGATAATGTATGTGCTATGGTGCATGCATGAACTACTACGTTATAACGTACGCTATACACAGTACATACAGTGTATACGTATATACATATTGTTATGACCTTGGCAATATGCCGTCCCATTTGAGTGAGTTGAGCTCACACCCACTGGACCTTTGGGTTCATGGTGCTTGTATTTTTCATATTTTTCTGATTGTCAGTCAATCTCCACGGAGAACCACCCGTCTGTAGACGGTTCCAGTCCGCAACAAGGCTCGGCTCACATTCGGTTGTCTGGTGTATCCATTCACGGGGAACATCCTGCTGCATACGTGACCCAAGCATAGTAAAATATACATACCACATATGTACGTGTATAGATACATATGCATATATGTATATGTATATGTATATGTATATATATATATATATATATATATATATATATATATATTGGGGATAAGAGCGAGAGTCATTTTGGAATCACGCTCCTTTTCTGACATGAAAGCTTCGTTTCGTGGATAATTATATGGCTTATAAACCTCTGAAAATGACTTCGTCTACATGTAAAGTGCTTGGCTCGTGTGTGCGGCAGGATGTCCCCCGTGAACGATACACCGAACAACCGCAAGTCTCAGTGTGGGCTGGAACCGTCGACGGACAGGAGGTTATCCGTGGAAAGGGTTGACTGACAATCTGTAAGAGAGGAAAACAAAAACACCATGAGCCAAACGGTCCAGTGAAACGTTAACATGACTCACACTCAAACGGAATGGTAAGTTGCCAAGGTCGTTACACGAGTAGTGTGAGGCCGAAACTAACTGACGTCGAGTAATTGAATGCCAAAACGCTGTAGACAATCGCTTTTATTTTTCCCCTTACAGCCTGTACAAGTTGTGTGACGCCTGATACAGTAATACAAGACGCTGTGAACGAAGACCGGGTCCGCTAGCCTTGCCTATCTTATCGATAAGACAATATCCGAAGAGCACTGATCTGTTGATCGAAAAACTGCCAGTTGCCCGAGGAGTTCGTTCAATCACACTGAGATTTTACGGTGAATTCCTATCGAGGACCCAAAGGATCTTAATTCTGGGTTACTTCAATCTTCCGGAGATCTGCCGGGTAGAGAGAGGCTCCCATGGGGACAAAGGGAGAAAGCTTTCTAAAGTGGCTACATGAGCATGCACTCATTCAGCACATCATGCAGGCCACAAGGTTTCGCAACCAACAGAAGGCTTCCGTCCTGGACTTAGTTATAGCGCGGTATTTATCGGACATAAGTGAGATAGCAATGGAGACTCCACTAGACAAGAGTGATCATGAGGTACTGAGGTTAGTATTACCCATGAAACGCAGCAAACCGGCTGTCCCACTTAAACACTGCTATAGCCGTATAAACGTTGCTACCCTACAAGAGGCCGCGGAGCACGTAAATTGGGTACCACTAGCTCCGGAGGCAACGTTGGAAGAACGATAGTCTGCCATTAAGGTGGGGTTGCTTAGATTGACCGATCGGTTTGCACCCCTCTAACCTAGGAGCAACGGGCAACGACCAACTTGGTGGAAGCCACAGCTAGATCCGGCACCAGTAATCCGGAGGAGATGCTGGGCCCGCTTTAAGGCGTACGGGACTGCCGACGCGTGGTCGACCTACAAGAGGGCACGCAACATAGCACAATCCCTTCAAAGGGAGGCGAAGTATGAAGATGAGAAAAAGTTAGCGCAAAAAGTAAGGCATAACCCGAAAAGGTTTTATGCCTACATGCAAGTGTAAAATGCTACTACAAGATTGGGTTAGCCCAGTCCCCAACCTCACCCTGACGGGGGAATTTGTAGAGAAAGTAAACAAGTTTTGTTATCTGGGCAGCTACATCTCACCTGGCGGACGCAGAGACTTCGTCTTTACGGGAACAGGATAAAAATAGATTATGAGTGTTCGAACACCGCTGTTCAAGTCGCAATGCACGAGTCCGGTGGGGTAACCGGATGAGCAATGCTGAGGTTGGGCGTAAAGTTTTAGGCATTTGCGGTCGT